CTTATAGATCAGAGTTTCTTAATCACAATATGACTAGCACTTAGGGCTGGATAACTCTCGGTTATGGAGGCTGTACTGTGTGTATTGGAGGATGTGTGGCAGCATCTCTGGCCATTATATATGAGATGCAAATAGTATCTTCTAGTGGTGACAACCAAAAATATCTCCAGACATTTCCAAGTCTTGCCCTGGGGGGCAAAACTGTCCACAGTTAACAATCACTGTCACAGGCAGGTTCTACCTCAGCACTGCTGCTCCTAGGCTGTATACTTAATGATTAAAAAACACCCTTGTTCATACAAGATGAAAACCACAGCAACAATGACATGAACTTCTGAAAAGATCCTGAAAAAAACTTTTCTGACAAGGATCCAAATATGACCATTGCCTTTGCAAAGAATAAAACAGAAAGGAACATGTAAGCCAACAGAACACCTTTGCTTCTCACTCAAATCAGTAGCAAAAAGCAGCTTGAAATTCATGACTTTCTCCTGTCCTGTGCAGCACATGGGTTCCCACTGATTGGCTCACACCTGACCCTGGGAAAGACACCTAGTGAGCCACTGCTAGCACTAGTGCTAGTACACTTCAGGTGCCACTTTGAAACAAGGGATAGCACAGGTACACAAAGATGCAGCACAGGTGCAACTTAATTTCAAGGTCCATTAGCAGCACAAAAGAGGGAAATTACACTTTCAAAAGCATACTCTGAAACTCAGCAGGGACATTTTTCGTTTTCAGTTTCCAAATGCCAAGAATAATAATTATGATTGTTCACAAGAGCAGCATCTAAGTTCAAATATATCACAATTCAATCTCAAATAACCAAAATGTTACACGTGGCAAATGACGTTTGAAAAATGTGGGGCTGTATTTTGGACTAAAGACCAGGGCATACTCACTTGAGCTTATGCCTACACCTTTGGTTTTTGTGACTGTGTTTCCCAACTGACCTTAGGATTATAAGTGATCAAAACACAAAGTGGATGCTCTCATTATGCTTTGGCTTTTAGGGAACAGTCAGCACTGGCCAGTTATTTAGCTGTTAAATGACAGCAATTGTTTATTGATGATATAAGTAAATAAATGTATGCACACACACACTCCTGGCTGCATAATGTCCCTGCCCTTTTAAATATCTGATCTAGATAGACAATCTAGAGTTGTAACCATCACCTTCTATGAAGACTCCATAGGACAGGATCATCTATGAGAAGCTTAGTCATGACCAACACCAAAGAGAACCCCCCTTCCTAGGTGGTATTTGCTGAGAAAGGAAAATGAGACAGCAAGTCCCACTCCCGAGCACATCTCCATAAATACAAACAGAGAAGAGAAATATAAGGAAAAACTGCTCCAGCATAACCCAGTCCATGAAAATGGTAGCTAGGGAGTACTTTTGATAGACAAAGCTTTGAACATGATACTATGAGCAGAACTAAGATACTGCTTTCACCATCAGAAAGCAAGTATCTTTATTATCAGGTATCTACACTGTTTACACCATCCCATATCTGGTATATGGCAAAGAACTACAGACCTAGTCCTATTTTTGTCATGTAAGATCACAAAACTAGAGAGAGGCAGACAGGTCTTTTCAGAAACCAAAAAGAGTTTTTTAAAGCTGAGGAACCTAGGACTCATACTTGCTGGCCATATAGGCATATGCTCCAGCAATGAGCCACACCCCTTGCCCCAGGAAAGTAGGTAATTTTGACAAAAGGGCAATCAAGCTTTTTTTGGAAAACAAATCTGGGTAAATTGATTTCCTGTGCAATCAATGAAAGAGTAAGGAAAAAAAAATTTAATCCCCTTTTTCATTTGATTCCCTCTTGTCTTCAACAACATAAACAGAACTCACAAATGCAGCTCAATCTGATGGTTGATTTAAATGAAGTTCGTTTCCACCGAAATTTCTCTTGGGGCACATTTACTTTCACATAATAAAAAAGCCCAAGGGTGATAAATTTGGAGAGAAAAGCCATTTGGGATAAAAGCCACACAGAACACAGTTAAACAGTGGAAGGGGAAGGGGCGTGTGGCCCATACACATGCATACACACTCTCAGACAGAGACAGTTGGAAGCGAGCTAGAGAGAGAGCTGTACCTTTAAAGAAAATAAATTTAGGGAACCCTTCTTCAACTACTACGGTACCCAATTTAGAAACAGTTTATAGTCAACCAGAAGATATATCAGAAAGCAATAAGACACAACAGTAAGCAATCAGAAACATCAGTGAGCAATAAGACACCAGAGTAAGCAGTAAAGACACACCAGGGAGAACATTTCTGAGCAATTACCACATGTCTTAATGCAGGAAGGGAGAAAGAAAAACTTCACTCAACCAGGATTGGAACCCCATAAAAATGAACTCTCTCAGAGCTCAAGAGCCATTTCTGAGGAATGACAAGAGGACTCTGAGGACCAACAATACAGCCATAGGCCGGAAGGAAGGCAGAAAAGCAATAACCAACTGCTGTACTCATTGAATGACATCTATCGACTTAAGTTCTCATTCTTTCTTTGGGGGAGGTTCAAGACAAACAACTAACATATGGCCTTGGTTAACCGATGACATAAAAATGACCTCCACCCTTTGGGGTAAACACAAGAAAACATCCAATACAATGATACCCACTCTGACCAAGGTATTCCTGAGAAGAGGATGTACTGGCACACAGAGGGACCGACTTTTCAAAGGCCAGCCTCAGGACAGACCCTAAAAAGCAGGGTACACTTCCTTATCAGATGGGTAGGTAAATACCCCAGGAAAGTGTCAGATCTTTCTCTAGAACCTTTTAGAAGATGATAGGACCTTGTTACAGACTCTCCCCTTAATTTATAAAGCAGGAGCAATGCAGCAAACATTCAGTTGTTTCCTCCATGAGGCCAGGAGGACTTATACGAGGAGCCAAGGATCCCTCCCCACCGCCACCAACAACACCTAATACTTAAACATGGTAAAACATGTGAAACCGCTTTCTTTGTAGAAATGCTAAGAAGATTAAGAGCATCTTGGAAGGTCAAGAAGAACAAGTGGGATATGATAGATTCTTGCTGTTAAGCTTCCTCTCCTCTCCCTTCCCAGTCTTTTCTAGGTCACAATCAGAATTTATTTTCTTGCAGGGCAGATTTCATCATTCCCACTCCATGAAGACCATAGCTTGTGTTTCTGTATGTACATGCATTATTACCATAATAGACCAATAAAAAGCCCTGAAGGAATGGACCATATCCAACACACACAGAAGATATAAAGGCATGAGAATGAAGTTAATTATTAAACACAGAACTCTGCTTTCTACTGCCCAAAAAGGGGAAAAATGTAATAGTCTGGTCCCTTAAATATTAAAAACATGGCAGGAGAAGCTCATTTAAAAGAGCTCCAATGTGAGCCAACGGCTTAGAGAATATGCTCAACAAGTACTTGTTAGCTGTGTTAAACTATCTCAGTATGCAAGGCTATGATCTCATTTGAAAGAAGTAGCCAGCCACCAAGTCCTTCTTATCTCATTTCTGGAGGTCACCCATTATTCTGCATCCTGAGACTTGAAGTCTCTCTGTGAGCCGGCAGTCAGAAGGAGAGGTAGAGGCAGCAGATCCTCAGAATGAGGGCAGCAGGTACACTGGCCCTTAAGTTATGGACAGAAGGAGTGAGGGTTAGCAAAATTAATGGTATAACACCCCACTGTACCTCCAAGGCAGATAATGCTGAACTGTGATGAAATCAGACAGGACCTCTCCAATTGCATCTTCTACTGAGAACAGGCATTGGGAAGTGGAGACTAAAAGCACCTGGATCCCATTTATTAATAAACAGCCCAAAACAATGGGGGGGGGTCTTCTGGTCTAATTACAGAAACTGTTGAAAACTGCAGGGAAGATGGAATTTATGGCCTAGATGACACTGCCTCTGTGTTGTAATTAAAAGTTATTTTTAACACTTTTGTCTGGTTAGATATTTTGGATTATTAGAAATATGTTTTGCAATTTACAATTTGCTGAAGGGCAATGAACGTAATAAGGTAATACAAACCAGCGTAGATAACGTGAAATGATTAAATGTTTTGACAGGTGGGAGATGGGAAAGGAAAAAGTTGCTCCTATTTGACTAACTTTTAATAAGAAAGAAGGACAGAGAATTAAGCAATGAAGTGTATTAAACTAGTTTCAGAAGCGATCCAGTTACTTTATTCCTTAGCTGAGTGTACCAGCCACCAAAAATACACAGACAGCTCAACTCATTCACAACCATTCATCCTGAAGACCTCATCCTCAGACTGTCTGCTTTGTCCTGGGTTCCTAGGATATAGTGGTCCCCTAAAAGCCCAAACACAAACACTCAGGGCCAACCCCAGGGCATGTAAGGGAGAGCCCAATGTGAGGTGTAGAGAGTGTATATTCTGGACAATGACACACTGTATATGACTTGGGTTTTGTTTTTAATTCATTTCCCTTCTCTTGTCCAAGATTCCAATTTCAAGAAGGGCTCAGACAAAAAGCCTCGTAGTAGAAACTGTATGGTGGTGCCCTCACTGGACATGGAACTGGTCAGGATTAGGTAGGGCCCATTTATCCCCTAAAGGCCATTTCCAGAATTCCTAGTGCTCCATATACACACAGGAGACATTTTCCTCAATGGTAGATGTACAATAACAAGAGGAGAGAATCTACTAAATATAACAGAATTCTGAAATTGTCTGACAGCAGTGAGAAAGGAGGAGGAACTCTCACCAGCAGCTGCTTCTCAGGTAACCTCTATATTTCATTTAATCTACTCTATGACTATCCTCATTAGAAGTCAATTCCAGGAGCTCATTATGTGCAAATGTGTCAGAGAAACCACTGGATATTACACATCATGATGAAGCCATAAAAACATTCAAACATCTGTTGCTCAAAAATAAATTCAAAGTTATTTTCACAATGGCCATACTAAGTTTATGGAATTTGTGTTATACCAATAAAAACTACCGTGCTACATTTTGCCACTCTTACCTGCCACATTAATCTTTTCAAGTGCTACCAAACTGGGAACAGCTGTGGTGGAGTTGGTTAAGTTTGTTCCTGTGCCATTGATAACAAGATTGTCCACCTTCGACTCTAGCTTGCCGATGCGCTGCAAAATGTTGTCCAATAACACAGCAAGGGTTTTCTTCAGATCTGTAAAAGCAAATGCAGAAAATATGAAAAGATTTCATGGTCTGTGCATATCTGCCTGACTCCATTTCTAACAAGCAAATAAAAGGTCTAAAACATAGGCTAAGGATATAGCTCAATGGGCACAAAACAAACCACTCCTAATAAAACATATCTTAGAGATGACAGGGGCCAGCTTCAACTGTCCCAGACCCTACCAAACAAATTGGTCTGCTACAGAATGCAAGTCTGGTAAGGAACGACATTTATAACGTTACTTACAGCTACTAGAGAAAAAACTCTGATATACAGCATCCTACCACATGTTGTATTAAAATTCCTTCTCTTGATAGCCCTGTGGTAAGACATACAGAACAACAACCCCAAAATGCATCAAGGTGTCAAAGTAGCTTCTGGATTGAGTTCATTGTTGTTTTTATCATTAGGTATTCTGGCATGTCCCGACTTTTTGGAAAGAAATATACAGGACTTGCGTATGTTGGAACAGCAGATGGGCAAGAGGAAAGACACCACGTGAATAGAACCCAGTCCCACTTAGGAATGAGAAGTTGGCCAGGGCAGAAAATGCAGTGTGAGCAGCAAGATGCTGAGCAGCCCTGAATTAAGACAAATGGGAAGTGTCACCTTTCATTCTGTGAACAAGAGCAAATCTGCCTTAGAGCATGTGTCTGATCTGTCTGGGAAATAAACAGACACCTGATCAATTCTCCAACCTGGACCACAGTCACGGTACTTGGGCCAAGCTGCATCCAGGAAAAACTCATTAGAAGAGAAATACAAACATGCAATTAATATGGAAGTTTGTGTTCCCTATGGTTTACAGAGAACAGCACTTAAGCAGACTAAAAATTATACACAAAATCCACATCTTTATTCTGAAAGCCTTGTTTGTGGCAAACCTCATCCTGACACCAAACATTAGACTTTTTCACAAGAACTGTAGAACCTTGTTCATTCATTCAAACGCAAATCATTCAAATGGCTATTTAGTGTGTTTTTTTCACAGGCATTATAAGCTTTTTAATTTTTTGTAGTTTACGGTGCTTTTAATATTTTCACAAACTTTTCTGTCTGTCCTTCCAGAGGTGCCAGCCAGTGCTGAGAGAAAGCAAAGAGCCCAGCCTAGAACATGTCTCTGACAGTGCAAAGTAATTAAACCAGAGCCACACCTTCATGATCTGACCCACACATTCCAGGAGACAAATGTTCCTCTACTTTAGTCACCCTGGGCTGGGTGTCAGGCAATGAAGAAGCATTGCTATAGCCCAGAACCCAGCAACATTACCCAAACTAGCCAGGCCTAACCTGCCTTTCCAGGAAAACCCCAATAAGGAGAGTGGCCCCAAGCCTTCTCCTTGCCCCTGCATCTCCCTCCTGATGATCCTGGTATCTTCCACATGACCTTGCGTGGTGTGCTGTGCCTTCTGCCTTCAGGTCCTGTGAATTGCTAAGTTCATTTTCCTGAGCCTCTCCTGTGCACTTCCTGTGGCTGTACTTGACTATGTCATGAAAGAACACCAAACACACACAAGTCAGGCACAGTGCTCGAAGCCATAGGACAAACACTGGAACCACCAGAAAGATGGGGAGGGAACTCAAGTTCCCCAAATGCCTGTCATATGTCACTCATGTACATGAGCAATCCTGTTTTATCCTTATTCTCCTATGAAGTACATACAATTCCATTTTACAGATGAGAAAAACTGAGGTCCAGACAGCATTCAAGTATGAATTTATCTTGTCTTTCATCTATCACACAGTATTTAGGGCCCCAAACTCTGGAGCTACACTTCCTGGGTTTGAGTTCTGGATTTCCATTCCTGCTTCCTTATCTACCTAACAGGACGAGGGTAGATTTCCCTCCTAAGGGTTGTATAAAGACTTAAGGAGGGCTAGGGGTGAATCTCAGTGGTACAGCACATACCTAGCATGCACAAGTGTTGGATTTGATGGCTAGCATTAAAAAAAAACTTAAAAGATGTTTCTGACACTGCCTAGCATATAATAAGCACTGCATAACTGCCTGTTTAATACATAAAAAAATTAAACCTCCCTCTGGAAAATGCTCTCATCCTTCTAAAGGCTTTCCTTGGGTGATGCAAAGCTTTATTATTTATCTGAAGGGTTGTAAGATCACTTTCCTCCCTGGCCACAGTTTGATACTCAATGTGACTCAGTCCATCTCTGGTACATCGTTAACTGGTATGGACAGCGGGAACTGGTTACCCACTCTGCAGTGTGACTGCATCTAATGTTTAACCAGGTCTCCTGACTTCTGACGATTACTGGAGGCCAGCCATGCAGATGGGGGCAACTGGGTCCATGAGAAGAGTATAGGTTCAGCTGAAAGAAACACTATTCAGATATGGGACACAGCAATTTCTCATGTGCACCCTCTCTGCCTAAAGCCTACATCACTAGTCAGCTAGAATCTGTGTTAAAACAGCAGGTTGGTACTGTATTACCAGGAGTTGTAGTTAACCAGACACATGGGTTCTAGCATGGACCCATTCAGCACCTCCTGACCTTGGCCCTACTGGCCCTGTGGACCAGGTCAGCCTCTGCTGTGGCGACTTTCCTATGCTTAGTTGGAAGTCTGGCAGCCTCACTGGCTTCTTCCTCCTAGGTGACAGTAGCAATTCCTAGACATTACAGCCAAAACTTTGTGCAAACACCACCAAATAACCCTTGGGGGCAAAAAGGCCCCCCTGTTAGAGAATGGCTAAATTACATACATTCTCGGGCCACAGATTTAGCTCAGTGGTTCCGCTGCCTGTCTCACACAAGGTTCCAGTTCAATCCCCAGTATGAAAGGAACGAACCAATGAACGAACGAACGAACAAAAGAAAGAACATCCTCCCCATTCTTGTATGCTCCACTGCCCTTCCATGCATCAAGGCATTGCTGCAACCCAACGAACGAACGAACGAACGAAAGAACATCCTCCCCATTCTTGTATGCTCCACTGCCCTTCCATGCATCAAGGCATTGCTGCAAACACCAGGAGAAGCAGCACAGTGGGAAGCCAGCCCTCCTGCCTCAGGAGTGTGAGGAGAACACAAGCCAATGAAAGAGCTCCTGGGGTCTGGTCACCTTGTGGAACCATATTTCAGAGGCCATGGACTGGCAGAGTCCTGACCCATTAATTATCAGTGATAGCCACTGATGGAACACACCTTAGAAAGGATACAAAGATTTTAGGTTATGAATTAAATTTTTTCTCTCTACAGTCTCAAATTACAGTGTATAGGCAAGTACTAGCTCTTCTTGTTCCCTTCCTGCTGCCACTGGCCTTCTGTGACTCTGAAACACTGTGAATAAGGACGAAAGATGTCGATGCTCACCATTGCAGCTACTGCCCTAATACCACCACTACTTAGTGAGTTCTGTTTGTGTGCCAGTCTCTGTCCTAAGCACTCACATGGATCAATTCATTTAATGCTACCGAGACAGAAGAGGAACATGTGGTTGCTCCCATTCCTACGTGACAAATAAGCCATAGCACAGAAAGGCCAAGTAATTTGTCAGGTGCCTGCAGACACAAGATCAGTCGGGGAGGTTCCAAAGCCAAGGGCTCCTGTCTCTGTTACCTCTGAACAATCACCATGGATCTGCCCACCAGCAATAATCTCTGACCCACTCTTCTGAACCCATGTATCCAGTATGAACCTCTGGGAATCTGTCATGTGTTTTTGTTAAGTCATATCCCAGGACCTTCAGAGTCAGTGACGCCACTGTCCTGTGGCAACTCTATCCATCGGACCCAGCATCAGTGAACAATGTCAACTAGCACTGAACCGGAAACTATCAGACAAGTCAAACTGATTTTAAAAAGAGGAAGAGAGGGAGAGGGAGAGGGAAGAGGGGGAGGATGTGAGGGAGAGAGGGAGAGAGGGAGGGAGGGGGAGAGAGGGGGAGAGACACTCTGCCTTTCCACATCTGTTTTAAAAATGAAGATTGACTATTGGGGTAGCAAATACTCGGGGTCCCTAGACACTGTAAGTAGGCACATTTTCTCCCGACACAAAAGAAATGAGTTCTTTTCCAACTCAAAGAACATTGTGAGACAGCATTTCAGAGGAGACTAATACAAGTTTAAAACTATTATCGATGAGAAATACAAGGTCAAAGATGATGCAACATCTATCTTTGCATCTGTTATCATGTGTGTCTAGATGTCCTCTAAAAGCCTCATGCGGTTATAGGTGGGGCTTTTTCAGAGGTGGATGGATCTAGAGTATGTGAGTCATGGTGCAATGCTGGAATTAAGGGTATGTGACTGGTTTGGTGACTGCCTAGAAAAAAGTATAAAAGAGGCAGAAAAAAGCTGCTGCTAAGGTCCCTTGCTTGCTTTGCTACCTTCTGTCTGCCATGAACTGTTTCTTCTCCGTAGTGCCCCCTACCTTGAAGCCAGCTGATTATGTCCTGAAATCTCTATAAACTAAGCTAAATAAACTTTCCCTCCCTTAATTTGTGGGTGTTGGATATTTCTGTCTCAGCAGTAAGAAAAGTAACTAGGACAGCATTTTACCAACTAAGCACAGTACCTGGAACATTATGATACTCAATAAATATGTTTCTCAAGTCAGTGAATGAAACAAGTAAATGAACTATAGACCTTCCACATAATGAACAATATTTCTCCCATAAACTAGACCTTTCTGGGTGATTATTCCTCACATTTAGTATTTTACAGCTAAAACTGCAAAAATTGTTAACAGCTTTGTTGCAATTTTAAACAAACAGTGCAGCATTTCTGTGGTTAGTCTTAGTGGGAACCTGCTATCCAATAAGACTGCACACCAAAAAATAATTTCTAGAGAATTTAATAAGAAAACAAGTGTGAAAAATATCCCTCCAAATTCTAGTATAGTATTTCTATATTTATCATTGTGTTTTATAGTTATTATAGCAGTAAAATGTGTCCTCGGCAGGATTGCAATTTTCAACTACTAATGAGCATTTAAAATTTTGTTTCAATAGCAATAAAAATTTAATCTCA